TGCGCAAGCGCAGAAGAGGCTGATGTCGCAATGGACTGATGTAGGGCATACGTGTGATTGATGATGTAATCCGTGTTGGATACTGTATAAATTGGGAATGCTAGGTGACAGGACTGAAGCCAGATTTGGGCGCGTGCCCCTGGTTTCCCAGCGCTGCAATAAAGCACCTCATATAACCATTCCGGTGGTTATGTGTCAGTTCCTACGCTAACATTTTGGCGACCCAGATGGGACGTCGCGGGCACTGCCGAGGCGGATCGCGTTTCGGTCCTGCTCCAGCCGGCACCGAGAGATTCTCGGGGAGCCATCGACCGCGACCGACCTCTGCTGCTCACGACGGACCTCTGATATGGTAAGGAAAGGTGCTTTTTCTTTTTTCTGGTTCGGTCACAGTGCCGATTTTGTAAAGTATGGTTTGGTAATTACGGTATTAAATTTTCGTATGGTTTGGTAATTATGGTACCGAATTTTTGTATGGTATGGTAATTAAGGTACCGAATTTTCGTATGGTTTGGTAATTATGGTACCGAATTTTGGTAAAGTGTAAGGGTACAGACTTCTGATAAGCTTGGCTGTAGGCGAAGCCTGCTTGGTTTGGTGAAACTTTGGCTTCAAAAAGTCTACCAGAGAGATGCGGTGAAAGCTGCATCTGGCCTCGCGAAGTCTGATTTGGTAAAGCCTGCCTGTTAGACGCGGCGAAAGCTGCGCTTGGTTGGGGCTAGGGAGCTCCCGGGGTAAAAGCCTAGGCGCCGTCCGTTAGACAGTAGCGAAAGCTCTGCAGGTTCGGCAGAAGTGGTATTGGTATTGGTATTGGTATTGGTATTTGTGCTGCGGGATCAGCATCTGTCTGTCTAAATGTTGTAACTTAGTGGCGAGTGTGTGGTGTGTGTGGTGTAGAGAAAAAAAAAAGAGAAAAAGAGAAAAAGAAAAAAGAGAAAAAAAAGAAAAAGAAAAAAGAGGAAAAAGAGGAAAAAAAAAAGGAAAAACAAAAGGAAAAAGAAAAAGAAAAAAAAGAAAAAGAGGAAAGAAAAAAAGGAAAAAGAGAAAAAGAAAAAAAAAAATGCTGTCGGTTCCCAAGTCCTCTCCCTTAGGCTGTATTTTAAGCCATTGGAAGGAGGGTGGATTTGGGCAGAGTATGCTGAAAAGCAAATTAATTAATTATTGTAATGTATGGTGGACACAGTATGAACTGGGGGATCAGGAGAAATGGCCTGAAAAATGGAACTTAACAGTATAATACTATACTGCAGTTGATGTTATAACAGGAAAGAAAACGGGACAAGGTGTTATATATAATTCTTTTCTTTAAGAAATAATGGTGAGTGGCAAAAATCTTGTGAAATAATGGGTGTAAAGGTAAATGTTAATGAACAGTGTAAGGAATGTGTTACTGAGAAAAGGTATGAAGTACCTTGTTTTAGACAATAGCTTACAACACCGGAGGGATATTGAAAGTTTGAATTTGGCAGTCGCTCCGTCAGCCCCGCCAGCATTAAATGAAGAAAGGGGGGGGAGAAGATGAATGATAGTGATCTCGAGAGTCTGGATAGTTGCGAGTGTAAAAGAGATCAGAAAGCAAGCCTCCCCATTACCCCAGTCTTGCATAGAACTCGCCAGAGGGGAAATAAAAAGAGCAGACTCAGACGTCCAGAGGAGTGCTTGTGCCTTTAAGACAGGGAGTTGGAACAGAAGGACCGGTGTGCATTAAAGTACCCTTCTCACCTGGAGATTTATTTACCTGAAAACAATCAGCAGCAGAATTTGTTGGCAGCAATCCAGGGGAGAGAACAAAGTTTTTCTAATCGGAGGGGAAGGGGGAGAGGAAGTATGCGGGGACGAGGAAGAGGATTCTATAATCCAAATGTAGAAACAAATGCAAGAGGAATAGGATATAATCAGTGTGCAAACTGCTAACAGGAAGGACACTGGAAAAATGAATGTCCGTTTAGGGGAGGACAATTTATGTCTCCAGGGAATTCTTTTATGGGATCTGATGCAGCTAAGGTGATGGTGCTAGGAGAGTTTGATAACCAAAGCTGACTAGACAGGGCGAGAAGTGAAGAGCCCCTTGTAAAAATACAATTAGGAGAGGAAGAAGTAAAACTTTTAATAGACACAGGGGCTACCTATTCAGTTTTAAATGATTTACATGGAAGATTAGGGGAAAGAACTACAATAATTGTGGGAGCCACAGGGAAGGAAGAAATATGACCATTCTTGCAGCCCCTGGATCTGCGACTTAGAGGAAAAGGAATTAACACACAAATTTCTATATGTACCTGAATGCCCCATTCCCTTTTAGGATGGGACTTATTGGCCAAATTGGATGCAGTGATTATTTTTGAAAATGGTGAATATAGATTAGTATGGGATCTGAGGGTAATAAATGAGAAATCAATTAGAGTTCTTTTGCATTCGGTGTGAAACTATAACCTCGTTGGAACAGTTGTTGTGGATCAAATATTATTGTCATAATAGCTGATGAGAAATATACATCTGACCTGCCAGAGAGGGCAAGACCGGAGGGAATCAGTGCTGCAGCTGGAAGGGTCTGCCAAGGGCTGCAACCCCTGGGGCTGTGACCGCTGAGCACTATGATCCTGACCGGACCTCTTTTGGCGATGGTTCTGTTTGGGCCCATATAGGCAAATGTCGCGGCTGATAAAAGCGACGACTGTAATGAATGCATTACCACAACTAGGCGAAGGGGAGTAACCTCTCAAATATTAGTCTATCACACCATGTATGAATGTAAAGGAACAATAATTGGCAATTGTGTACACAACCAAACTCAATACAGACTTTGCAAAGAAAGAAAAATAAAATGGTTTAAAACAGAACTGGGACACAATCTGGTCAATGAGCATTTTGCAGAAATTTCAATATATCGGAAATACATCTTGGTGCCTTAAATGGACAGGAAAGCAAAACGTAGCAGAGAATATAGACACTGATGATTTGCTATCTATAAATAGAGTTAGTCAGAATGTTATTAAAGACGTTCCTTGATGGAATTGTACTAAAGTTTTAGATTGTGATACGGACCCTGAGGAAATTACAATACCTCCAATTAAAACTGCTTTAATGGCAGGATGTGCATGCTGGGGACTAAAAATTGAAGAAAAAGGAATACAGGTCCCTATTAGCAATGAGGATTGTAAATATTCTACGGTGCGTAGTATAGGACATTTTGTCTGGGCAGCAAGTAATGGAACCTGGACTACTCACCTATCCATAGAAGGCCCAGTTAAAAAAAAAAAAAAAATAAAAATAAAAAAATCACCCTGGGATTACCAACTCTTTGTCCAATTTGGAAAAAGTCACCAGTCAAAAACAAGTTAGAAACCCTGCAAATTCGAACAAAAAGAAATGTAGATGATGATGATGATGATAATGACAATGATAATAATGATAATAATGACGATGATACGTGGCAGGAGCCCTCTGCAGGGGTTAAGATAGGGTGGGTTTTTGAATCTTTATTTGCACAAATAGCAGCATATCGAAATAGAGAAATGATTGACAGACTAATTGGCCAAACAAAAAGATTAGCCAGGGTAACGAAGAAGGGGTTTAGGGATTTAAATCTGCAATTGCAAGCCACAACTAAGATGACCCTGCAGAACAGAATGGCATTAGACCTGTTATTGCTTAAGGAACATGGTGTTTGTGAATATCTGAAAGACAGAATAGATCATTGTTGTGTTCATATTCCTAATGTAACTACAGACATAGAGTATGACATTTCCCAGCTGACCAAAGTGGAACAAGAAGCGGAAGGAGAAAGAAAATATATTGAACAAAATTGGATTGGAGCACTCTTTGATAGTTTAGGCCTTCACCTTACTGGATGGATCCGTTCAAACTGTAGTTGCAATGATGATCATGTTTTTAATGTTATATCTGATGTATTTTTGTATTCAAAAGGAAACAGCCCGGAGCAATGCATGGACTCATCGAATTATAGGGACAGTAATTAAAGAATATCCAAAGCCCCCCTCTCCTCCCACATATCAGGAAACAGCTACCTAAGGAAATGAAAATACTTGACTTAAGTTGAGTGAAGTATTTTCAAAGGGGGGAAATGTTGGAAAAGAGTGAAAATTTTGAAAAGATAGAGTAGTTATATATGTAAAACTGGTAGAAATGATTACTTAAGAAATCCATAAATCAGTAGAATGGTTCTGTCGAAACTTTGTAGTTTCATACCAGGGTTATTCTATAACGAATGATACAATGGTAGTTTTGGTAGCAGGAAGTAACACACCTGTATGGTGAAGGGTATAAGTGATAAATTAGAAAAGTATATTGTAAGAATCTATCCAAGTAGAACCTAGGTATACCAAAAGGCAGTCAAGGGGAAATAGGAGGGCAGCTGACCTCCACATAATGGTGGGAACACGTCCAAAGAACAGAAAGTGAAAAGGACAAGCTGAGGAAGACTTCTTACTTCATCCGAGGAAGACTACTTACTTCATCTGAGGAAGACTCCTTACTTCATCAGGACGACCACCAGAGGGGGCTGCGCAAGCGCAGAAGAGGCTGATGTCGCAATGGACTGATGTAGGGCATACGTGTGATTGATGATGTAATCCGTGTTGGATACTGTATAAATTGGGAATGCTAGGTGACAAGACTGAAGCCAGATTTGGGCGCGTGCCCCTGGTTTCCCAGCGCTGCAATAAAGCACCTCATATAACCATTCCGGTGGTTATGTGTCAGTTCCTACGCTAACAAGGGGAGATCGCAAGTGGACAAAAGAGACAGTCATGAGGGGTGAGGGGAGATTGTGGGGGGACAGCCATGAGGGGAGATCATGAGAGAAGACTGTGAGGGAGAAGAAGGGGCACCCATGAGGGAAGATCATGAGGGGAGAGGTGGGGCAGTCAAGAACAGGGATCGTGAGGGGACAGGAGAGGCAGCCATGAGGGGAAGTCATGAGGAGACAGGAGGGGTGGCCATGAGGGATTAGGGGAGATTATGAGGGGAGAGCGGATGCAGCCATAAGGGAAGATAATGAGGGGAGAGGTGGAGTGGTCAGGTGAGGGGAGATCAAGGGAAGAGCAGGGGTGGCCATAAGGGAAGATCATGAAGGGAGTGGTGGGGAAGTTGTGAGGGGAGATTGTGAAGTGAGAGCAGGGGCAGCCATGGGCCATACGGGATGGCCATGAGGGGAGATCTTGATGGGAGGTGGGGGGTGGCCATAAGGGGTAGGGGTGGCAGCTATATTGTCTGGACCACTACGAGAGGGCAGATGAGGGATGGCTGTCACCGGAGATCATGAGAGGCAGCCATGAGGAGAGATCATTCTGCCCTTTGTGACATGGCTTAGTGGTGGGCTTCATAGTCCTGAGGTAACAGTTGGCCTCAATGATCTTAAAGGTCTTTTCCAACTTGGTTGATTCTATGATTCTATAAACCAGAACCAGTCAAGAGCCAGATCTGGATGCCACATGGTCACCCTATCCCACACTCACCTCTGCTGCATTCCAACCCTCCATTGCTGTCTTATCCCCCCCTGCAGCAACCTGAATGAATCATAAAGTCTGCTGATGTTCCACAACCGCAGATTTCTACCTTCATCAGTGTCTAAAGGTAAACCAAGACCTTTGGTGCAGGGTATTTCAGCAGGTCTGCAAAGCTTCCTGCTGCCACGGCAGGTCAGCCAGTTGAGCCCTCCTGAAAGGGCAGGGCCATGAGACACAGAAATAGTGAGGTTTTGCTAAGAAAATCTCTAATAAAGAAATAAACAAGCACATCCCAATAGTAACATCAGCAAAGTATCACATATACACACAGGCAAACTGTAAGCAGTCAAGTCCAGCCCAATAGTTGCTTTGATTTTTGAAAATGCATAGTAATTATGCTTACCACTGTGCTCTAATTGAAATATGGTCATTAAAAATTGCTCTGAGAAATAGTGCCATTTAGGACTTTTCACCCAAGAAGAACAATTTGACTATAATGCCTTTATCTTGAAAAGTAAAATGTAATTTTCAGTTTTATGCACTGAGTTACGATTTGGAATAACGTAATTTATGATATGAATGAGATTATAATAATCTAATATAATTTAGAATTAATTCTTTTTTAAGAAAAAGAAGCTAAAATCCTTTACCCATTCTATTAAGAAGTAACAGTAGCAATTTAAAAATCCTAAGATAATTTTATTTTCAATTTTATTACTCTTTTGTGATTTTTTCCTCTTTTCTAGGAGGCTTTATTACTGCCAGAGTTTCAGTATAGATTTTATTTGAAATAATTTTTTTTGTAAGTAAGTTCTCCAACATTTGTATCTGTTTTCTCTGCATCTGGTAGGAAAAAAAAAGGATCTAACTTCTGCAGTCTGAATGAGCAGTAGCACTTTTCTGGTTTATCTGTCATACAACAAACATAAATCAGTAATAAAGTAAAACTGAACCAGTCATCCCATTCATTACCAAGCCATAACTGCAGCCTGTATTTTAGCACTTAAAACTCAACAACCACATCACCCAAAAACCCACAAGTCCCACTGGGATTCAAGGTCATAGTAGGAATTCTGAACATAATTAACATATTATACAACAAATTATATTCTTACTGTTCTTAATATATAGTATTTTTAATAACCACTGCAACAAATGACATTTTTTGCAGCAGCTGAGAATTTTAAGCAGCAGCTGAGAATTAGTTTAATGTTGCACATTGGGATGATTTTTACCCCTTTGCATAAGCCTACAACAGGACAGCACCCTGGACAGCAGAGTTTGGGTGCACTATTTCACTTCTTGCCCAGACCAGGCACTTTTGGTTGTCTGATGTACTGTCCCTCAGTGCAGCCTAGAAAAGCTCTTTAGACTTTCACTCAGGGCTCAGTAAGACACAGAGCCATCAGCTGACATCAGCACCTTCTGCTTGCTTCTACTGTGAAGAAGAGTTACAAGGTCATGATACTCATACTTTAAGTCACCAGGCCAGGTACAAACTACCATCTCCACAGCATGCCGTCCTCCTCAGTTAACATTAACAGAAAACTGTCTTGAATGTGTTCATGGGGACTAGCCTAGATGCTTGCTTTCATAGTTCTCTTTTCAAGTCAAAAGTTCTGTACAGCATTGCTTCAATGTGCACAATGCTGCTGTACACCTGCAACATTAGGATAAATTCCAGATACAACAGATATCTTTTACTAAACAGATACAACTATCTCTTTTACTAAAAGGGCTGCTGTGCTTTAGAAAAAACTCTGTTAAAAAAGCTACTGGATTTCTTACTATGGTGGCATCAGAAAAAACATAAAGCAACACTTCTATTAGCTAACACAATTAATTTTGACTGCATGAGTGTAAGCTATAAAATCTCAATTTGCACAAGCAATGCTATCAGAATTTGGGAAGCAAAATGCATTAGCTGGTTTACAAAGCAGATTACATTACTGGCAGATTACTCTGTCATTTGTTTTATACCTGGGTGGCGAAAAGAGTAGGGGATTACATACTGTACCTGTAGCCCAATCACCAACTTTGCACACCACCAGGCGGATTTTAAATATTCTTTAGTTTTCAAACAGTTTTCATTTGCAGTATGCCATATTTGTGCAAAATTGTTCATCCCCATATCCTAAAAACACTTCATGAATGCTATGATCTGTGCATGGCTTCCAAAACATAAAAGGTAAGGTAAGTTTAATGGAAGAAAAATATTTAAGAATTGAAATCAAGAAGTAAATGTTTTATCCAGAGAACATTTTAAAACAAAACCATATGTTACTTGTACAATAAAACTTCTCTTAATAACTAAATCAACACACATAAAGAGGCACTTCACAAGAACCGATAGTACATCAGCCAAAATTAGCTGATTATGTGGCTTTTAACAGCAGTAAGGCTGCTCTACTGATCTAAATATGAATGCTGAACTGCTGAACCCATTTTCTGGGATAAATTTAGCTGTTCTTTCATGTTCCACTTTTCTTTGGTACTTGGATCAGTTATGCAGTGTATAATTATACCAGCGCAGTTAGACAGTGCTTTCTATCTGAATGTCTCAACATGCTTTTCAGACTTAATTACTTTGGACTTGGAAATCCTTCATGACGTAGATACCATTAGTCAAATTTAAAAGAACAGTAAATGCAGTCACAGAAGAGGGGAGTACCCAGAAAAAGACTGAAATGAATCCTCAGCTTCTGGACATACTAGGAAATACCTTGCTCTTGACAATAGTAAGTAGCTTGGCACTTACTTTACACAGAAACACAAGTAAAATCCAGGCACTAAATAATTCCTCATTGTCCACCCAAATACTCTGACCCATATCCATTCTCAGAGGATGCCTAACACATGCCTAAAAGCTCAGGCCTGGGGCGAGGTGCAGTAGCATCCTTTCCACTTCTTCTGAACACACAGCATCTCTTGGTAGTAGGAGTTAAGCAGTTATGCAGAACATGAGACAAAGCTCCAATTTTTCTTAGCATAAGAGAAAACTTACACCTTGCATCTCTGTAGAAAATGACCTATCATTTTGTTTTACGTGAAAGACACCTTTCCCTATAAAGCTATTTTTAGCAAAATTTTTCCAACCCTAACTATTCTATGATTCGATGATTCTAAAAATGGACAAAAATTACTTAGGTTTCTTTTTTTTCTGAAATAAATCCAGAAAACTCCCTTTCGTGGTACTTTTTGGCTGTAGATGCTGAACTAAATACTTACATAGTAGAAGGAAAAGATGTAGACATACCTATATTCTCAAATATTTATTCTAGTAAATGACTGTGAATTCTCGCCTGTTTTACCCAAATTTCCTTATAAACTGACTAACTTGGAGGCTTGAAACAAAGGGAGAATTAACCCCACATTCTTGTTTTTACACATGGTATTTTATCACATTTTTCTCACCCTGAAGGATTCCCAAAATGCAGCATAAACTTCAGAACTGGAGGGATCCTCTCTGCTCAGCCCTAACAGCTGAGCACATCACCTCTCACTGTTTTAGCACCTTGGCTTATCAGGAGGGCTGAAATTGCATCTCTGGCACCTGGAGCCCTGACACCAGGTTGCAAGCTGGTTTTATTTTCCCATTTTTCTGGGCTGTGGGACTTTCATTCAAAGGACATGACTCAAACTCAGAATAGATCTGCCTGCTAACAGCCATGCCCAAGCTAAGGAAAGAACTGAAAACACTAACAGCTAGTAGTGCTACAGGCTGCTTGTGTTAACAAGCCCTGCTGAAGGGTAGGGTTTATTAGGTGGAATGCAGGATCATGAAAAGGAAGGATACCTGCATAGCAATGTGCTGCATTAAATGATAAATCAGTCAAGCAGAAAGAGATCAGAGAGTTAAAATGCTTATAAGCATTTCCCGGACATACCTTGTTTATCTAGGTCACTATAAAATGCTCTCTACTTCTTTGTCTGGCCAAGATCTATTTCTTCTATAATGCCTAGAAACATGTGATGAAGTAAAATAGTTAATTGTTAACATATGAGTGATCTCGTGTTGTTCATATGTACCCACTAGTTCTGCACTGATACTTCAAAGAAGTAAATACAATATAAGAAAAATTAATCCAGAATACACCCTGAACCCTGAACAGCAGATGCCTTTTTACACCATCTTGCATTTTGCAAGCAGTATGGGATGCCACCAATACAGAATTCACAGAGGTCATAGGACTGGAATTCAGCAGCGCAAAAGATCACAGTTGCAAGCAGAAGGTCTCCATAGGAGTTGCAGGAGACTCCTCCAGCATGTGTTTTCACAAACCAGGAACACTAAATCCTCTTCCACAGGTACAACTGTGCAACAACTGCATATTTGTTTATAGGATCAATTGTATCCTGACGATCTCAGGCAAGCCCAGCCAGCTAGTTCCTAACTCAACAGTTCTAGTTAAAAGTTAGGGGTAGCTTAGATGCCTGAATGGAAGAGAAAGCATTGATTCCTCAAAGATGTTGTTAAGGGTGTGAAAAGAAAGTCATCCCAAAGCTCTGTAGTGAATATATAGCCATATTTCCAGGTCTGGTTTTCTCTTTGCTATTACTGTTTATATCAAGCACAGATGGCTAACTACCAATCATCTGGATCTCTGGATTATCATTTAAATGCCTGAATATGACAGCATCACAGAAATATATGAAGGAATATATGAAGAGGTATGAGAAAACTGAATATACTGATAGATGCCCTTAATTTGGTAGACCTCAGCTTAACCTTTGACTTCCATTGTGCATTTATATATAAAATGTTCCTTCCTCATAGCTATACAAGTGATTGTTAGTGACAAAGATTAATCTTATTACTGGCTTTCTCAGTGAAAGGATATAGAAACACTGAGAGATGCACGGAATGTTTAATGATGCATGTGGCGTGCAAGAGAAACTGTAATTTACTGGGAAAGGCACTTGAGGAAAGATTGCTCAAGCGACACATTGCAGCTCCTCTTTCAAGAATAAAAAGAACAAATTGGGGTTTGTTCATTTCCTTGCCCATGCTTTTTTCCCCAGCTAAGAATTCTGCAATAGAAAAAATTACATTGCTCTAAAACATGTGATTTAACAGTGGGGGTCATATGTAAAATGACATAAACTTGATATTTTTGGCATTCTCGTATCACACATTTGAGACTAATATTTTGAGACTATAATTTGCTTATGGATCAGCAGCAGTCTGTGCAAATTGTGTATGTTTCAGAACCAGTAAACGTTATCTATAAAAAGGATTTGAGGTAGATACTGTTTTATCTCACATTGATCACACACTTCTGGGCACTGAAGATACTTGTGAGTGCAAAGAGTACATTCAGTATTTAATAATACAGTGATAGAAACAAAACCAGTCTGAACCCTGTGTGAAAGAGCTACAGAGTCTGTGACGGAAGGCAGCTGACAACTGAGCCATCCTGCAGGACTCTGCCCACAGGCTCTACAAAGTGAGCTGCAGGACCCAGAGAAATGTACTGAGCATCCTTCAAGCCTGCCCAATTAGACCAGTCTGCAAGGACTTTAACAGTGTGTCTCATCTTTTAAAGGAGTTAACAGAACCTCAGATAGCATAAATTACTCTTGTCACTTCAATTCCACCGCCTATTTAAACTAATTTACACCATTTGCCTTAGTGAGCAAAGCAGAAATTGACCTGGGAATACTATTATGCTGCATTTGCAGATTAAAACCTCTTATTCTCATGAAAGAATTGTGCCTGCAATGTGTAACCCATTTTGCTCTGATGTAGCTTTACAGAGCCTGCAACAGCTGTATTTTTTCAACATGTAATAGCACTAATCACCATGAAAAGCATAACTACATAAGCAACCACCACAGAGCTAGGAGGCAACACATATTTCCTGTCTGAAGGAACAGTTTTCTTTAAATACTCTATTATCCTGGCAAAATGAAAGTCTTCTGAGATTTATGTTCACAAATGGTGTAAATAGAAATTTCCATTGCAGAGAATTTTAATGCCCACTCCATGCCACTTCTGATTGTACCTGTTATGGATCTATGAAAGCTCTATTATTCAAACATTAAGTTTTGCTTGCTAGAATAGGTGTGATGAAGTGTGATCACGTATCTACTTGCAGGAATATTACCTTTCCAGAGCTCAAATTATTTTATTATAAAGAAAAAAGTCAAATTAATACAAATTGAAAAGACAGAAAAGATATTTCCAAATGGCCTGAATTTAGACTGAAAACTTTGACTGCTATTTCAGTATAAAATTAATGCATTAATCCTGAAGCACAAGCTAGTTACATTATCAACATACCAAAATGTGATTTGTTTGGAATATATGCCTTTTTTATGCTTATTTATTATTGCTGTACAGGCTTTCCTTTTCCGATAGACTCAATAAAACTTTTCATAAATGTATTTTTCTCCATGTGCCTGCATTTGACATCGCTATCACTTCACAGCAGGCATATGGAGTAACTGATAGACTATTTTAAATAGTTCATTGTCAAGTTAGATTCACTTCAGAGCTGACCTCAAGCAGTTTCTGTGCTGAAATGCTTTGTGTGTCTGCAGTTACAGCAAGGCACTTGCATTCAGAACTGCTGATAAAGGGGCGCCTCATAGAAACAAAAGCAAAGCACTTTGTACAGACTAGCAGTATTGATAATAACCCTTTCCATTACTACAGAGTTTGAAGCCAGAAGGGAACACCTGAAGTGGAGCAAAGGTGAAGGGGAGTGAGTGAGGAGAGAAGGGAGCACACACCTGAATGCAGAGACATAAGGTCAGTGCTGTCTCAGAGCTGGCATGGCCAAAAAGTTAAAGCAAGAGGCTGGGGAAAAGCCAGGGACAGAGCTATGTCCCAGCAGCACACAGCCTGTTTTAGCAGGAAAGGCAATGCTGCAGCATTCCCTCTTCCTGGGCTGACACATCTATGTACATTTCCAGTGCCCAGGAATGGCAGTTTGCCAGCATCAAGATGAGAAATGGAGGAGAGCCTCCCCATATGTTAAGGCTGGTAAGGAGGAGAAAGCATATCAGAAGCTGGGAAGCAGAAGTATGTGTAGGGTCACCCTTAACCTCCTAAATGTAGAAGTTTTTTCCCATTTATTCACTGTTTTCTGCATTCCTAATTATCTTCCACACCTTCCACACTCAGGTACTTGAGAGTGCATAAATCATCACTTAACATACAGTGTAAAAGTTTCCCATACATTAGTCCATATGTTGACTGAATTTCACAAGTTTCTTGTGGTATATATACCAGTCTTGTATATTGTACCAAACTGGAAACTGTGTCGAACTGCTTGACCATTATAACCTTTGTGGAGACAATGGTTTTCTGAACACAGCTCCTTCTCTCCAGTTCACTTTATCTCCTTTTTTTCCTGGAGGAACACATTTATACTGGGCCATATTGACTCCAAAGGACCACACTAAACCCAGACTGAAGTAAAATCTTTAAATTAAAATCCTTAAATTGCAGGACTGGTGCCCTGCAGATGTAAGGCAGGGCACCAATCAACTCCTTCAACCTACTGATCTGCTTCTTGTGCACTTTCAGCAACTGAATACAGGACCATGATCTCCATTCTGGATGACTGGTGAACTGATATCAGATTTGCCAAGTCATATTGTTCACTTCTATGAATCATGAAAATACATTCGTGCTCTTCCAATACCACCCACCACTAGACTAGATGCTTTCTTAGTTTATTCTTGGGGTTCCTTAAAACATATGGATGCAAGTTATGTTCAAGATATTCAAGATATTGTTATTCATCCCTTTAGTTTATTCGTTAATTAGTTTTTAATTGCTTTGTTATTAGAGGAGTATATTGTTTTCTTCTCTCAATCACACAGCAGCTATTTTGATTTATTAACATTGATAGCTTAATTTCTGTTGCCAATATTTTGAAGACCTGGATTCATCCTACAAAGCTGTTCAAGCTAAGTCAGTGAGCTGCCAAAAAGTTGAGAATCATGTGTCAAGAAGGAAAGAAATTAAATCCATAGCCTAAGGCACCTTTGGCAACTGAGACACAAGTAGAAGCTATGGGGGGACAGAATAGGCACAAAATGTGCATTCGCTAAGCCTGTACACAGGATGGATTTAATTCCTGAAATCTTGGAGCATGCAGTGTGAATGAATTCTTACGTGCAGGTGGGAGTCTCCTGGGCGGCTTTCCCAAAATCTGGCTCCGAAATTCTGCCTAGCAACCTTTGCAGCATGGCTGTTATTGCTGAGGATTTGCCATGCACCTTGCTCTCCCCCCACATCTGTGGTGCCAGAATTTTCAGCTCTTCTGTTTTGATATCATTGTCTTAATCACACCATTTGTATCTTTTACTAGTTATTTTTCATTTGGGTTATAAAGAAATGAAGAACTCCAAACATAACCCTTCTGTGTCTTGTGTTTTGGAGTTTCAGATGGAAGGATCCTGCTGACAATAAATATGGCTTTTGTCTGTTACCGATATTACAGTATCATCTGGAAACCTCCAAACACTTTCAGTCTAAACTGGAACAAACACATGGTAAATGACACTGCATACTATGAAGAGCTTACTGGCTCAGAAAGGATGGAAAAAGGAATACACCATTTTTCAGTAGCATAAAGTGATTAAGTCAATTGGCTTAATTATGAAACCCAAGATGGCTGGCAAAAAAAAAAAAAAAAAAAAAAAAGAAAAAAGACTTAAAGCTGATCTCCAGAGGTGTTCAATAAAAAGCTGGTGTGTTCTTCCACAGAGATTCTTTAGTCACTGATATTTAGAGTCCTATGATTATTTCCACTATTGTGTTGAAGTTAACTTTTTTTGATAAGAACAGTGAATCAATTACAGAAATGATCCTTCTGCTGTTACTGCACATTGCTGAGGCTCAAATGTTGAGCACTTACAAATAAAGGTCTCCAGAGTTCTCATTCCTCATACAGTAATTACAGCTTAGAGAGGTTGGAAAAAACAGTTCATAGACTTTAAGGATCCTATGATAACAAAAAAAAAAAAAAAGGAATTTTATTTTAAAAACCTAGAAGATAGTAATAGATGCTGGTTTGATCTGCCAATTTATTCCAGCTATCTGAAGCAGGGATTTAATCTTTAACTTACATCAATCCTTCCCATATATAAGTAAATTAATTAAACTGAAACAAGCAGACAAATTAAAAAGACTCACTAAATTCACTACAGCAGCTGATGAGACCGTCACCAAACAGAAGATAATGAAGAAATATTTTTTGCAAAAATATCTATCATCCTGAAATTACTCTGTGAAAAAAAAAAAGAAACCGGTGGTTTTCTGAAGCATTTATTTCTAATTTCAACATGATTAAACAGAAAAAAATAAGTATTTTCCTTCTCCTTGCCAATAGAAGTGATTATTCAAAAGGAAGATTAAAACTAGACTCTACCAGGGAATACTTCAGGCAAAGCAGGCTTTTAACACCTCTAGTACTTTAAGATACTGCCTCATTCAGGGTAAAATATAATAAAGTCACCATATTCTCAATGCTGGAAAAGAATATGAAGAAATACAGCACTTATAATTTGAGGCTAATGCAATAAATACAAAAAATCTTACTTTGAGACTTCATATTAAAAAAAAAAAAAAGAGAGAAAATTTATGTCACAATTAATTATCTGGATCCTTTGCTCTCATCTCTTTACAGCTTGAGGCACTTTGGCTGTCCTCTCCTGGAGGGAACTGAGAGCAGATATAGTGCCTACCAGCAGCAAGAGCCCGTGAGAGCTTGGGAGTGGTGTCAAGCAGCATCCTACTACCCCACCAGGTAAAGAGGGGTAATAGCACTTGCCTATCTATTTCACAATGCTTTGGAAAGAGAGAGGATAAAATACACAGAAATGTTAAATCCCAGCTACCCTTGGGAAAATTACTTCCTAGATGAAAGGTTTTACTTCCAAGATATTTCCGTGCTCCCAATTTGAATCTTTGCTGTTGTGATTCCCCTTGCTGCATTCACAGAACATGGCACTACCCTGAACACACATCTGCCATTCTCATACATGCACTGCAATATTCCCCATATCCTAATTCCTCCCTGAAAACCCATTTTACCTCCAGTACTTTGTATAGATTATTTTAAAACTCTGCTCTGAAATCAACCCCTTCTCTCTTAATGTTATTGGTGTATTTGTAGGTACTCTTTTGATTTCTTTCCAATCTCTCAGTATTTTGACATGCCTAGAAGTCTATATAATGGGTGTCCCTGTTTAAAGAAATGTATCAGTGGTATGATCCCACTAATAAACATGTTTTTTTAACCTGCTTTTTTAAATTATTATTATTAATTATATGAGAATTGTTTCTGTGGATATTACCCAGACTTCTCCTTCCTACACTGTAATTCAGAATATTAATAATTTATCAACCTACATTTTGCTGACCTGAATCTTTTTTCTATTTTTTTTCTTTTTGTTCTTTCTCTTTTTTCTCTTTTCTTTTTTCACTTTTTTCCTCTTTCTTCTTCTTTTCTTCTCTTTATTGGTTTTGTTCTGTCAAGATTCTCTCTGCTCCTCTGTGGTTTTGTACTTTCAATGGTATTTGAAACCAACCTTTGTATCACATGAAAATTTAATGAACATGCTGACTGCCATGTTCTTCCAGATCATTAACGATGTTGTTAATCCAGGCCAAACTTAAAATCTCCCCTGTGATACTCCATTAGACCCCTCTCTGCCGTTTAACATACCTGGAAAAATTTACTCCTGTTGTAAGCAAAGGATATTTTCAATGAACCTTAAAAACTTGCACCAGTGAATGCAAGTGATTACTCAGGCCCATTACGTTTTATCATTAGCCTTTGTTTGTAGGCATGTACTCATGTCACAGTGGCGTGAATATGTGTAAAGCCAGTTGTAATTAATTTTGGCACTAACACTTTACACAACAGTATCTGACATGCCACTAAATTAAGTATACTACTGTTACTGCCATCAATCTTACTAAAAAACTCCCTGCCTGGAGAGTGCCCTAGACAGTTGCCTGCTCACTGTTAGAGATGAGAATGAGAATGAAGGTATTCTCCACCCTTTTTACCCAAGTCTTTTCAGTTTGTAGAACGAATATGTAGTTTAGATTGAGCCCAAAGAAGGAGTGAAGAATGAACATGATCCTGAAGTCTAACAAAAGGGAGCTCATCTGAGGGGCAAGATAACTTTTTTGCTTGTACATACTGCTCAAACATCCATTTGATGTACAATACAGCAATGCCTGTGGGTTTGGAAATATCTTTAAATTATCATTCTTTCAGAGTATTTTAGTGATCAGAGTATTTTAGTGATTTAGTGATTAGAGTATTTTTGTGATTCATAATCTTTCTCCTCACTTCTGCCCACTTCTGCTTTTCACTTTGCTTCTTCTATGATTCTAAGAAACGTCCCTAGGACAAATACCAAAAACCACTAGGGTCCAGAGAATAAAAGACATTAAAATAGTCCTCTTTTTTCTTTTCCTTCCTTCAAGAAAAGCATTTTGTCCATTTCCCACATGGGAAAGCACAAAGCTTGGCAGTGCTGTAAGTGGAGCTTTCACAGAAAAAAATTACAAGGGGGAACACTTACTCAATACAAAATGAAATACAGGATAGATTTGAAGGTAGAAGAACCAGATGCAATTCTAAGCAGTCACAGTATCTCAGTTTCAATTAAAAGAGGTGAAGTTCTAAAGTGCAGAGAGTTTCACTTAACCACTAACTAAATAGTTTTGCCAGAGGGAAAAAGAAAATGAGGAATGAAATGTAAAACATTGCCTGTGTCCCTGGTTACACAAAGATACTCATTTCTTGTGTGATGAAAGGATATCTATCTCAGTGTAAAGCCACTGTCCAGCCCATTTGTAATAACTTTGTGGTTTCTTTTGCTAAATAGAAAAGTAAAATCGTTTTTTAACCCCATTCCCAAAGAATTTCACACATAGGTTCACTGTTCCAGGTCTCTCATTTCCAGCATGTCAGTTATTCGACAGGTTGTTTGTAGCACAGCAATCCTCAGCTCACCTGGAGGTGTTCAAGGCCAGATTGGACAGAGCCTTGGGTGGCATGATTTAGTGGGAGGTGACCCTGCCCATGGCAGGGGGGTTGGAACTAAACGATCTTAAGGTCCTTTCCAACCCTAAATATTCTATGATTCTACCCCATCAGATCCATAGCCAACTGCTTGGGAGATAGTACAGAGATACAGATTTCTCTTTAGTTGACTTTTCTATCTAATTTCTAGTATATTTAAGAATTGTTGTCCTCTCTGTTAATGACTGCAGGATTGGTCCCTATATACCGAGCCTCATATTTCCTAGTCACATTAACTGCCAATTAGTGGCAACATTTCTGTCCATGGACACGTATGTACTGTGAGGCAGAACAAGAGCACTAATTACTTTCAGATAGGTCACTTCTGGCTGTCAATTGTTCCTTGAACTTGGAGTGTGTCCACATAATTCTTTCTTTAAATTTAATTGGTTGGAAGCTATTTAGTCTCAAAGGTAAAACTGGACAGTACAGTTAAAACTGCTGTAGTTAAATCTGAACAATTATTGACTTTCCTATGTGTGGCTGGGTCCAGTTGCAAGGTGGGATCCCTTTTTTGTTGTTTATCTACTCTGCAAGTCACTGCTTAGGGATGAAACTATCCAAGCCCATCTGCAGTTCCTTTAATTTCTGCAGGCTGCTGCAGCATTTGAACTGCAGACTTCAGGGCTTAAATCAAAAGATGTAGTGA